ATATATTTATTTATATTGAACATGTGTTTAAGATTCAAATCACATAAAATAGATATCATTTTACAAGTTTCGAGCTTAATTAAAAACTTGAATATTAAAATTAAAAATCACTCGTAAAAAACTTTAATGTAATTTTTTATGTGTCCTTTTTATTTAGCCTCAAATATCCGATATCTCGAGAGAAAATACCGGAGTCTCTTTGACGTAATGCGACGAGATGCAAAATTTCTCCGTGGAGGAGAACCAGGAGGTTTTTGTCGCGGAAGGAAAGTTCGGTGTCGACCGGTCCGCGATACAAAAGATAGAATTCGAGGTGGAGATTATATCGACGAACAAAGGCAAAGTGGCATATACATATATATATATATATATATATTGAAATCACTGAAGGAGGATCAAAAGCAGAAACGTTTTCCCTCGTCCGTCCATTCGTCCGTCTGTCCGTTCGTTCGCCAGGGACGAGCGGACCGACGTGAAAGCTATCAAAGCGGAGCGCGTTGAATTCCTCCATATCTCGCCAGGTTCGCGCTCGCTATCGATTCCGCAAAATTTACTTTCATATTCGCGACTCATAGGCGCGAATTGTATGCGTATATACTCGCGGAGAAAGTCGCCGTGAATTCAACGTATAACGTAACGGAAAATTGCAACACAGAAATACTGTTTATTTGTTTTGACTTTTTTTTTACTTTGTTTTTCTCTTTTCTCTTTAAACCCGTACGGTATAGGTTTGCAAGGAGTCACATGACGCTCGGTGTTTCTTTGATTGTAAGACTAGTAGTTTGTAATTACGCGTTAATTTTCAAGGAAAAAAGATAGCTTATTCCATTCGAGTAGGCGTAAATATTGTTAAACCGTTTTCCTGAAAACGTGAGATATTTTTTCACATTTTTTGGTTTGATTAATATGACCACCGCGATATATATACATAACGATACTTTCTCTTGTATCAAATATAAATAAAAAAAAATAGTAAATTCAAACTGCTTTTTCTAATGTAAATGAAATACAACGTTTTTAATTTATTCGTATTCGATGAATATGTAAATGATAAAAGTTTCGTAATACATGGCTATACTATATCGGTATTATGCCATCTAGTTTTAAAGATCGAAATCCTTTCGTATCGTCGTGTTGACCTCATTTTTTAAATTGAAATTCCTGAAAGCAACACTAAAATAAAAAAATGAAAAATAAAAAAAGAAATACATTTTGATCTATAACAAAAAACAATAATAAAAAAATATATGTTTACCACTCTGAAAAAAAGAAACAGAAATACCATCTATTTGTGTAAAAGAAACATATTGAAGGAAGAAATTAATATTGATCACTTTTTATACAAATTAAGAATCAATTCATAAAAAATTATGACGTATTAAAGTCTTATTGTCATTCGTAATCAACATATATAAATTAAAAAAAAGACGAATCTTTTACTCATGTTAGAAAAAATCAATTAGAAAAAATAAAAATAAATAAAAAATAACAATATAATATATAATAGTATTTCAGAATAGCATCGTACATTAATTTAGATTTTTAAGCAAAATTTCTATTAAATTTTTTTAAGTTCCACTATCTCCACCTGTTGCAAATAATTATAATAAACATTATATACTTTCATTATTAATGACAGACTAAAAAAGTTCCCATTAGATTTTTTTAACCGTTTTGACGAGTCTTGATAGCTTTCATGTTAATTTGTTCGCTGATGACGAATGGATGGATAAGCAGATGAGCAACGTTCCGCTAAATTCCAATTCCAGTTTGAATTAATCGTGGTTGCTAATAAATATTCAATCATCTATAAGAATGATCAAATAAAAATTTATGTATTATTATTATTATTATTATTAGCATAGAAAATTGAATATATTTATATTTCAACACAATGTAAATTTTCTCACCCATGTGAAATGAATCATATTAACTCCATGTACAGTTCGCCAATAATAGCGCTAATAATAATAATAAGTATCGGTCTAGCACTCAATCGTCAATCATTGCAAAGATCTACATTAAGATCTCTTGATTAACGTTTCGTAGAAACTGCATCCGTGTTAATAACGCGAGCGACTTACTTCATAAAACTGTTTTCCATTTGACAATTAATCGAAATGGGACGAGAAACATTTCTACGCTCACCGACGCAACGGTCATTTTCCACCGTGAAATCGAAAGCGCCTGTCACCGATCGTCGGCGTGTCGCGAATGGAAATGAAAGAATAGCGAAAACCGTGGTGCACTCGCGCCATGCCGCCGACTAAATCCACCTCGATTATCGATTTCCCGCCCACGCGCCGCCACGTGGAAAAGATCACCTTTGCCTGGTGATTCGCCCTTCGCATTCGTCCCACAGATTTTCAGCAAAGCTCAGCCATAGCAAATTTCACTCCACTCCGTCGATCGAACCGAGGCCGACGCCTTTCAAATGCTAGTTACATAGAGTTCCTCGAGCCCATAGAGCGTTTACCTCGATAATGTCATATCGATAATTAAAGGTTTGAATCATAAGCTTGATCATTCATCAAGTATGAGTGAGCATTACGTAAACTCAAAGAACGCAAAATAAATAATAATTTGCTGAAACGTTGAAATTTATTAAACTTCTTGAGACCAACGAGACGAGATAGTGGACCACGTGGAAAATGCTATCGACGGATATTTTAAGATAAAAAAATACTGACCAATCGTTAATGATTATGAGCGCGGCTGACGAAGGAGTTAGCACTACACTCCGAAAGTCCACATTTTTTTGAATTTGTATGTAAAAATTGATCGATACACGAGTGCAATGGTGAACAGCAACGTGCCATCGCTTTCGTTTCGACTTCGTTGGAGAACAGCGAAGGTAGGCGAGCTATTAACGTCTCGACAGCCAGGTTTGCGGCAGTGAAGGTAGGTGCATTGAACTGTTGCTGAAGCGCCCTGTAAAAGCGCATCTAGCTCTGTCTGTTTACGTACCTGTGTTCTCGGCTACTACTAGTTTGAGGACGTCGAAGAGAGGGATCTGGGATACCGTAGGTCTTACGAGCGAGGAAAGGGGAGGCAAGGGGAGACACAACGTGTAACAGGAAATGAAATATCGATGTACCGCGTGTACCCTACAGAGAAACGCCATTACGTTAATCCTGCTTGAGCCGCGAGTTCTTTCTTTTTTGAGCCCACCTGCGATCTTCGCGAGTGTTGCTGCTTTCAATAAAGCGAAAGGGTATAATTAGATGTTTGTCAATCGTTCGAAACGCGCAGGAACGGCCGCGTGACCTTCTCGTGTCTCGAAAGCAAACTTGTCGCTCACCACAACGTTGCCGTTTAACGGCAACCATAAGTTTCTCTTAATTGTGAAGTTAAAGATAAATTAGCGTGTGGTCAATTCAGAGTCAATTCCTCGTCGAGAGATGAAGAACTGAGCTCGTCATTCTTTCTTCATAATTTCTTCTGTATTTTTTATTTTATATAATCAAAGAAAAATATTTTTGAAAGGTCGAAATTTTTAAATTACGCGAAATTGGGTCATTTGAATTCATATTTAAGTTAAGTTGTAAATTACTTTCTTTTTTGCAATAAATAACTTGGACAGGTAACGACGGATACCCTATGTAAGCAGTCCGCGCTTTGAAAACTCGTTACTTAGACGAAAGTGAATCGCCAGTAGGTCGATAGTATGTCTCTTCTGTTAATTAACTCTTCGTGTATCTTCACAGCAAACTCATTGCGACTATGGCGCAAGGAAAGTGATATTAACGCACAAATAACTGTATCGAAAGGAGAATGGTAAAAGTCAACGCCGAAAGGGCCGCCATCGTCATTTTGCGCTGATGTCTCACATTTTGTCTCGCATTCTTTTCGGTATTTCGTTCCCGAAGCGACTTTAACGGATCCTCTTAGATCGAATCTTAACTCTTGGACTTGGACTTTCTAACGCGTCGCGATTCTCTTCGACGCGTGAAAACTGGCCGCCGCTCAAAATGGCGGTTCGCGACCCTTTCGGCCCTTTTAAAGAGATCATGCGGTCGACCTGGTCCTGGGCATGTCGGCCCCGAGACCGCTGTCCTCGCTCGGCGATCTATACTCCTGGCTATCCCGCGGTAGAAGAGGGCCCGTCACTCCTAGGGGATCTCCCTCGACGTCCACCAGTCGTCCCGGACGGCAACAACCACCGGGCACACCCCTCTGCGGGAAATCAGATGTCCTGTCATGCCCTGCGCCCTTTCCGTTATCGCGTAAAAAGAGTGCTTTTCTTTATTTTTTTTTCTTCTCTTTCCTCGAACGAGGGGCGATCGGCCGATCGATGATTTCATCGGGGCTGATGGTATAGGAAATATCACGGAAGGCAAGATCGTTCTTTATCTCACGAGTGCGCAGATATCTATCGCAGCGATTATCATTATTTTTCTTTCACATGATATTCTTTTCGAAAATTTTGCAATGACAAATTAACAATTGCGAATAAGAAAGAAAATAGGCCGAAACTGAATAAGCCTAATTAAAGCTTGAGATGTAAGACAAAAGATATATCTATTCGCTTGATTAAATTAAACAAGGGTGTATACAGATATATATCTAAAATAAAATTAATAAAACAACTGGCATACGTATTGGTAGAATAATAATTAAAATGTTGGTTAAATACGCGTGATGAAAATAAACAATAACGACGATGAACAAAAAGAGAGAGTAAAAATAAATAAACTTAAACAGAGTTGTGTGATGTATTTGTAGCTGTACATAAAATTATTGGATAAAATAAAGCAATACATAACACGCATAAAAAGAAAAAACATATTTACGATAATTGAAATAATGATCGCGTTATATTTCTAATTAAATAACGCGTGATAATAAAAACGACGCGGTAATAATACGCCTCCTTGCGTTTTCGATCTTCCTCACTTTCTTGGGAAAGTGAAGAAGACACGTTTGAGACTCCGTTAATCCCAGTTAGCATCGATTAGCCGAAATTTGTCTGCGATTTGGCATCCATTGCCAGTTCAGCAAGCACCGGCGAAATTAGCAATTGTACAACAATTCATCATCGATCGACGTGTCGCGGGTCGTTCCGCCAAGCAACATTTGTCCCCGCGTGCAGCCGACACTTGATTTACGACGCTCAACCGAGGCCTGCCGGATGCGACGTCTCTTCGAGAAGAGCCGAAAATGATCTATCGGGGAGCCTCTGCCGATCGGCGAATAGCGTCGTGAATCGAGCGTCGATTCATCGATCCAATCTTTCCGGTTCGAAACGAACGGGCACTCGCGGACTCGTGAAAAAATTCGCTTCAGCTTTGGTGAACTCTCGCGCGATTTGTTGCGCCTCTCGCGATTTTTTCCCGCAACTAACGAAACGCTCTTCTGTGAGTTTTCTCGATTGTTTCACGGTCACTTAACTCGATTTCGTACGGAAAACCGCGAAACGGAACGAGCGTCTCGAGCGTCTCCCTCAATGTTGTTTTTTTAGTGAGAGAGAAGGTGGGAGGATGGTGTCTGGTGAGCACAGCAGCTTTCTACTTGTCTGTTAGCAGCAAGCATCTAACAGATCATATCCAACTAACGAGAGAAGAAGGGAGAGAATGTATGTGCAAGAGCGCAAACATTTTCTCGCAATGTGAAATTTCAATTATACATCTTCGTCTTAATTGTGATAAAGAGAGCGGCGTTCGTATAATAAATATATATATAGTAAAATTGTTTGTACATACATAATTGTAATTAGATTTTATATTAGAATGATATTTTCAACATGTAAATATGTATATTACGCAATTAGACAGAGCGTTATTTTGCGTATTACAATTACACAATTTATATTATAATTTATGTATTATAATATAAATTATAGAATTTCCATCTAATTATAATTATGCAACATAATCATCAAAAAGTGACACCCGATACTTTGCTCTCAATTATCCACTATCAATTCCTCCGAGTTTGGCAAAATATAGGTACTTAAATTTTGCTGCCCTTCCAATTATGTTTATTACAAAGAAAGATAAAACACATGACAAAATGTATACAACATATACATATATATATATATATTTCGCAAAAATTGAACGCGGAGGAATTGATTGTCGAATTGCCGGCAAACACGAATTAATTCTGAGGAACAAAATAGCGCAATATATAAGCAAGATTATAAATAATTGTAATAGCAGAGCACTAGTGAATAAGAGTCAATATAAGAAGAAGAAGAAGAAGAAGAAGAGACGTGAAAAGTAGAAGAAGATAATGCTCATATGCTATAATTCCAGAGAAAGCAAAAGAAAGCGAAAGATACGCTGAGAAAAAAGCTGCGCTTGGACGAACAAAATTCGTTTACGAATAAATTACGTATCGATTAAACAAACAGTGTAATTATATAATAATAATGAATTGCTAATTAATTTACTACGATACTAATCCTGTATTGTATATATATATATATTAAGAATGGAAACTATGGCGCTAAAAATATGCAAATGGATACAAAGCATCTGCTTGTACAAATCAAACAGAGAGCAAGTAACAACAAAAGGAAAAAGACGAAAGGAGATGGATGTTCACTTAAAAATTATATGCTAAATTTTTCAGCAATTTTTTATTGATGTACTTGAGTTTAGCGTTACTGAAATCGGCATACTTTCCATTTAATAGAAGAAATTCAAAGGCGTGGCTTTCTTTCAATCACACGAGGCTCGATCGCACGATTTGCGAGGCGTAATCAGGAGAGATTGTTGTTAGAAAAAAAAAACATTAGAAAGGACTGTTAAATATTATATCGACGCGATAGAAAAATGCGCAAAATTTTTCACTTGTCGCGCTGCGGCAACGTCATATGCACGTCACGGGCCCGGTATAGCGTAAGTTCCTTGTGACCGGAGCGAGTTTTGTTCATCGTCAAGCAGCTGTTGTTCTCAGAGCGGAAAAAAGAGAGATATATAGAGAGAAAGAGAGACGAAGGGGCTGCAAGTCATTTTCCTAAAAGAGACGAGTCATGCTTTGTTCGAGGAGAAGATAACGACAGACCGGAACGATCAAACGGAAGAGGAATCGATCGTAATGTCGCGATCGATATCGCGCGCCTCCCTCTCTCTCTCTCTCTCTCTATCGCCGATCGAGAGAGCGGCGGTGAAGGATTCTTTCGCGAACCTCCGCGACCTCCGGGAGGAAGGATCGCGAACCTTCTACCGAGGGATCCTTCGTTCTTCCTAAGAGATCTTGTCTTCTTGTTCCGTGCGTGGCATTCTCCGTTTTCTCCTCGCACCTCTCCAATCGATCGCGCCTTTTCCATTCTGCCTCGTATCTGTTTTTTTTCCGTCGCCGATAACGAGCGATAACGCGACGGTAAATCGGTAAAATATTCCGAATTTTCCTCGCCATATTTGCCACTTGTATCATCACTTCTCTCGTGGTTTCTTTCTGCTTTCACATTGGAACGGAGATTTTCTTTTGCTTTCGCGCCCAAATTATTTTATTGACAGTACGTAAATATGTAGAATCAATACGGGTAATTGTAATACAAAGTATGTTTTACTTAAAACATACTGGAATTTTTCATTTTTTTAATTAATCTTAAACATCTATTCTTTTGGAAATCGTATCACGAAAATCGTATATTTCAGATTTAAATAAATAAATAAATCAGATTCAGATAAATATATTTCAGTTAAAAACATTTTTAACTTATGTAATTTGTCATGATTTTGATCTTATAATATGAGGTTATTGAACAATGTATGGGGAAATTGTAACATAAATAAAAAAAGTTATACTGAATAGTAATCAGCCGACTGTTACAGAATAAATATTTTTAATACTTTAAATTATTTATTTTTTTTTGCCTTTTATTTTTTCGTTTATTAACTATAGATTTGACACTGTTCAGTGAAACTTTGTTGGTTCTTTTATTTATATATTTTACAAATTTACATGGTATAAATCTACATAATTACAAAACAGTAAATAATTAAAACCATTGTATATGTTTTCAGTTTAATTAGTTGGATATTATGCTACGTATTTACATTTCAATTAATTATTGCGTATTCAACGATTAAAAATCATATGTATTATATATATTAAACATTCAAAAATTATATATATTATAATTAAAATTATAATTATATATATTATAATCTTTAAATTCCAAAAAATATCAAATAGAAAATTTATCAAATTAAAATGTAAAGTTCGTTTAAACATTTGCAATTAATTTTGTCTAAATTATCATTAATTGATTACAAATAACATATTGATTGTTGCTGCAAGCCAAGTACATAAATTAAATACTTTCAAATATCACGCTTATCCCACTTAATATATGCATAAATTTACTATGAAGGAATTCGTAATTATTGTTTAAAATGTGAAAAAGAATGATTGACATAATCTTTTATTGATTTTCATTAATTATTTAATGAGCCAGAATCAATAAACTCATTAATTTCTAAACAAAGAACTTTAATCTCGTAATAAGGAACTTTTAATAAATAATACAATTACGATTGAAAAACAAACTTTGAACATAAAGTGCGCAAATTTTTATAATTGAAATTTTTGATATTCCCATTTTTGAAGAAAAATTTTTATAAATTTATAATTTTTACAATTTAATGAAATTATCTTTTTTAAATAAAAATTATTTATAATAATGATAATAATTTAATATAAATGTGTTTAATAAAAATAAATATAATTATATTTTTTCAGAAAAGCCGCATGTCATAATCACCCCATGTCACTATCGCAATTACCCATATTGATCTTTATGATAAAAATATAAATTTATTAATTGCTTTTTGCATCGAAATAGCTTTCTGACGTTTGTTATGAAAATACAAATCTATGTTAGTCTAACAATCATAAATTTTTATCACTTTCTGATATTCTCATGCAACGAGTTCTACTTTTTTCGCCGTAGCAATTATTTCAGGTTATTCCGGTTTGACTGTTATGAATTATGGCGTTTTTGTTATGAATTATTAATCGCCATTGGACACCTCTCCTGGGACTGGTCCGCTTTGTTCGCACAGTTTCGCTCGTTCTCGGGGAGACGATAATTTTCCTAATGGCCGCAATTTGTCGATTAAGAACGCGCGCGCGCGCGACGAGGAACTTTCGGGAAATATTTCCCTGTTAGTTTTCCCTCGCGGAGTCCATCGACAAAGGGCGGGCACGCAAAGCGATTCCGAGAGAGTGTCTCGGACAATTAGGGTGAGCAGAGATCCACAGAACAGTGAGTGAGGAAAATGACAGAGAGGAAGAAAATTCTATACATCATCGTTGTAGAGCCAAGAGAGATAGAAAATGTGTGTGTGTGTGTGTGTGTGTGTGTGTGTGTGTGTGTGTGTGTGTGTGTGTCTTGTCTTGTCTGTCGTAGTACGTAATAGACACAAACAAAACTGCGATGGTATTCAACTAATTTGTTGTTATTTTATTTCTCTTCTTGTATATATATATATATGTATATATATATATATATATATATATATATATATATATGTTTGTATGTGTGTTGCGTTCTGTAAGCTCGGGAGAGATATGAATAGAATGTAGGAGGTGAGTTAAACTTACCGGAAGATCGTGCAGCGAAGGAGTCACTATCAGGTCCGAGTGAGCGCGGTCGCCTTTTCTCTGGAAAAAAAAAAAAACATAAAGCGTCGTTTTAAAAGCAACCCATTCTGTCGGACTTTCGACTTCCCATGAAGAGCTCGCCCGTCTCTTAATCGCGCGATTCTAGTGAAATCGCAAAGAATCGTAAACCACATTCGAGTTAAGAGGGAAGAGTTCCCTCGAGTCTCAATTTTGATGGTTTATCGCGACTGTTAATCCTCCTTAAATTGGGCAAGAAACTCGTCAGCAGATTGCCTTAAAGTTGAGCTCAAGTTGAGAAAAAGCGAGGAAGCTTTATTTTAATATTTAAAATTACTTTAAATAAAGATTTATTAAAATCATATTTTTATCTACTCTTGGAATTTCTTCGATTTGAATAAAAATAACGGGATTATATTTCTGATTACGCAGAAATTAAAAGTGTTATTCTCTCCGAAGTTTGAAAGAACTAATTTCGAAGTAATCATTACGATTTTCAAATGTTATAGTTTGCATACGTTAATATTAATAATGCGAAAATTTGGCGCGTACGTTCCAAAATACATTTTCCATAAATTTTCATACATCTCGTCATTATTTTATCGCAGTAATTCAAATTCGATCGATACAGCGTTACCATATGGAACGGACCGACAGAATACTCAATGATTCTCTGTTGAAAATTAAAAAAAACTGTTTAACTCAACAAACCTGTATGTACCTTGTTTATTCCTAATATTTTCTGAGCGTTTGGAAATTTTGGAAAATCAATCTTGGTTATAAAGATCATCCAGGAACTTACCCTGGCCATTGCTATTCGGGGTCGGTAAACGAGATCGTCGAAGGCCCCCCTGTCCTTGTTGTCGATCAGCTCCCTGAGCTCTGTCAGCAACGTCAGTTTTTCCTGGGTGTTCAGCAGGTCGATCAGGTTGATGACCAGTTCCTCTATCGTCAGCCTTCTCGTCCTGTAATCCGCCAAGAGCTGAGAGAGCGCGGCTCGCTCGCTCCTCGCGAGAACGACTCGCGCCTTCTCCTCCACCATGGCGGCGGTGGCCGCCGAAACGGTGTGGACGCCACTCCGATGCCTCCATTCGTTCGTGCTGCTCCTTGATTTTCAAAGTCAGTCGGAAGTTAAACTGGCGTTAAGTGATAATACATTTCGTACGTTTCGAGATCGAAACGCAAAGATTACAGATTCCGTATAGCGCAGCGTTAAGCTTTAAGCTTAGATTTAATATTTAAAATTTAATATTTTTTTTTTAATAATAAGTTGTTAATTGATCTTTTGTAATTATTAAACATACGTAGAGTGTTTATCGAAATTAGGTTCGAAAATGATTTACATGAATACATTTTGCCCGGAATGTACACGATATGTTGCTTTTAATTAAATTAGCATTATCCAATATTCACCAAGATTTAATTAACCAAGATTTATCAGCAAATATTATTCTTATGTTATATATAACAAGTTCAATTATTAATTTAATTAATATTATTTAATATATTCAAATAACTGTCACATAACATGAATTAATATTGACACAGTTTTAATCATGCAAGGATTTAAAGGAATTATTTTTAATTAATTTTATGTCTTTACAGATGCAGAATTTAATTTCCATTCTTTACTTTCCCTTTTATATTTATGTCCAACATAAATATGTATGTGTCTGCTTTTAAGTAACGTAAAATTAAATATAAAATTAATAAGTGACACTGGGATTGCACACACAAGATACAAAAGAGAATAAAATGCACATTGCACATTAAATTTTTCGTTTTAGCAGATAATAAAAGATTAAATTATTTAAAATTTTTCATAGAAGATGCATTTAGTCACTTACGCAGGACTGGGTGGGCGATGATTTCCGGGACTTTCCAGGAGTAAAGGATCGTGCTCGGGATATCGGGTGGCCGGGATAATAGGCTGGCTGGTGGTACATGAATGTGGCACTTTGCCGACATCGCGTATCAGCAAGCTCATCCTCTTGTTGGTCTTCAGTATCTGAACAGCCTCGTCGTGCGTCGCCTCCTCGAAATTCTGCCCATTCACCTCGATGATTTGATCGCCCACCTGCGATCGTTCGGAAGTATTCCATATTAGAGGAATTTGATTATCACGAATGAGATTTATTAGAAAAAAAAAAAAAAATACACAAACTAAACAGAGGGACGATGTCGTATCATGATAAAATTAATATTCATCGTGAGAGAAAACGACATCATTAAGAAAGCAATTATGTTAACATAAATGAATGAATAAATGTTCACTGATCACTGATTATGGTACATTCAATGAAATTGGTGAGATTGATTGGGCAGGGTGGATTGTCTGTCGGTGGACGATTGCGGCGTGTCCGGATTTAGCAGAGAAGCGTGATTCACAATGATCTCACAAGAAGTCCGGCGCGATCGGCGACGCTGTCCTTGTCGACGCCGGTCACATAGATTCCAAGGCCGTATTCGAGGCCGCCACGGATCATCAGGCCCAGAGATTGGCCGGATTCGATGCACAGCTCGACCTTCCGCGTCCGCGGTCCGTAGCGGGAATCGCGAGGCGGATGAAGGGGCGGCGGGGACGCCGGACGACCTTGCCGATCCATCCAGCTGCAGGATTGCGGACGGCCCGACGACGACCATACGGGGTGACCGCCCCGGCAGCGGGGATCCAACGCGGGCCCTCGCACCGTCATGCTTAGGGTCCTGCAGGACTTTAACATCTGTCGAAAAACATGTCGAGAACATTGTACGATAGATCGAAGAACAGGACAGAAAGATGCAAGGGGATGCAATTTGATTGAGGGAGAGAAAATCTGCACAATTACTGTAATTCGAAATTCTGAATAATTTATAAACTTCAGATACTTTGATAATTAAAAGTGAAGAGATATTAATAAATTTTTTTGTAACGTATTCTTTTAGAAATGGATAAAATTTTAAAGTGACATATCTTATTAAAAACCTCTTTTTTATCAATCATTAGCTTAGCAGTAGCTTAATGTTAATACTCACTCACATACATCATTAAATTAATAAAATTTTCAGCTTTAAAAGCATAAGAAGGAATTGATTGCGGTACTATTTATATTCATACTTGTCTATTTGATATTCAATTATGCAGGACATTTATTTTCGATATATTCGATAGCTAATGAAATATTGCTCACATCACATAAAAATTTAAATCGATTAAATAATTTGAAGAAATTTATGAAGAAAAATTTTAGGAGAAGCAAGAAAGTATGTAATTTAATGATATTACGCGATATTTATCACAGTATAAAACACACAATGAAGATAAATACAACATGAAGATACATAGATACAAATTTATTTCTGTATGAATAGAATTATTTTTAACAACGGCAAGAAATAACGGAGGTAATGAAAAAAAGGCTCAACGCTAAGATCAGAATTGCTTGCGAAAACGCGCGGCAGGGGTGTAGTTAATGAAGAATGGCAGGATACATACAAAGTGGGCTGTTTATAGGTAAAATAGATGAAGTTAACGAAGAGAAAACGACAAAGATGTGTTTCGCGGCGGCGTGACGCCGCTCGGCAGCCAGCAGGATATCGATCCTCCTGGCAGAGCCCGTGACGTCACATCCTACCCTATCCTTGACCCAGCCCGGATCGCGACGTCCCTAGGATCCCGCGGTTCTTTCGGTAAGAAATGCGGGCCTCTCGCGGCATCTCGTCGATGTCCGCGCCTGTAATGCGACGAGGGCGCGAGCGGCATACGGGAAAGGGTGATTTTTTTCCCCATCCCCGTGCCCATAACGTCGGAAATCGTTACAACGGGGAGACGTAAAAAACGCCGTTCTCATTTCTGCGACGATGGCGGAATCGCATTTGGCAAATGCACCACCGTCACGATCTTCGAGATGCGCCCCGTTCGGGGATGTATCGTAAACCGCATCCCTATCCACTTCCACCATCCAACTCTTCACCCACCGCACAAATTGGATGTACTGTTTTACACACGAAAGACATTCGCAAATGAAATTTCTAAAATTCCACGTAAGTGATTGCAAGCTTTTATTAAACTCTGACCTCTCGTTGCCTCTTTAAACTTAAGTGCACTTTACGTGAAATTTTGCTAACTTATTTTCTTCAAAAGCTTTTCTTCGCTGATTTATCAATAAAGTGTAAAAATATATTGTTTCTTTGATTTTTATTTATCTTTGAACATAACAACTTAATCTTTTTTTCTATAAACTATAAAAACGTTTGCCTTTAACTTTCATTTATATATATATATATATATCAACAATAATTAAAGAATAATTTTTTCTAGAAATATATATTGGCTCTTTAAATTTTCCAATAATAAATTTTGTTAATGTTAGATCTGTTATTTCTCAATTTAACTTATTACGGACGGAAATCATATCGGATCATTTTTCAAATTTCCACTTTATGTCGATTAACAGCATTCGGTGTTACTGATCAACGTTTGTGATTGTGGCTCTATATCTGTCTAATCCACAACGGGGGTGCCATTTCGCATTTCGCACAAGGGAAATTAATATCGGATTAGCTGTCGAGAACAGATGAAGAGCCCGGGGGTAGTCCGAGTGCTGGCAATTCCGTGATCGGCGACCATCTCCGCCCGGCCGATTAAATAAATAATTCATAGGATAGAACGTCGAAGCGGTTTGGCCGACGTAAGCGAGTCAAGATGGACGCTAGAAACTACTCGTTGTCGCGTCCGGGAACCTAGCGCCGCTATTTCCGGCGCCGAGGCCATCATCCACGAGAAGCTTGCGTGCTGCTATGCTTTTCGATTGTCCGGAAGCGGCTATCTGTGAGCTAGTCCGCGAGTTACGGTGCCAACCGACGGATATCGCTTTGATCGCTTTCGCCGATGAAATCGTTTTCTGAATCAGCCGAATCGACCCTGATGGCGTGTTCTCTCGCTATCGATGATAAATTATAAGAATAAATTATATACGATAAATTATATCGCCTGCGACATTCTGGAGAGTTGGCTTTTCCGTATGCCATAAGGAGTTTATTCTTATGTTTCTGACTGGGGAGATCGATTATCGTTAAATAGAAGTGGTTTTGGAGTTTCAAAATAAACCTGCGTCAATCTTGGAGTGTTAAATGATAGTTGTTAACATGTTCATTGTCAATTCGATATCTTAATTATAAAAAGATTTTGTATACAATCTTATACAAAATATATTTTATTAAAATATATTTTTATGAGAATTTGAATATAGTTAATATAAATATAATGTATATAATGAGATAAGATTTAAGATGTATTTGAAATGTCTTTTTCCATTATGTATTAAAAAAATGATATATAAATAAATGATATATAAATATAATGATACTAAATATATATATATGAAACTCAAATTGAAAAGAAACAGAATTGAAAAAAAAAAATAAAGCTGAGGTGATAAATTTTCATAAAAAAAAATTTCTCGTGAGAGAAAAAGGTGAAAGGGTAATCCAACAGTTAAAATTTAATGATCAATTTATCAAAGGGAAAAAAACTTGACTTTGAGTTGCTGCATGGCAAATTCGTAAATAATAGCATGCATGGTTCGCGATTTAAACAATTTTTTTGAATTTATAAATATAAATCAGATGTCTAAAATCCTGTCTAATAATGCCGTTTATTTATTAAGAAATAAAAAAAAAAAAAAAAAAAAAAAAAAAAAAACAAAACACAAGAAATTAATCAATAACTGATCAGAAATTCTGGTTACTGATCAGTATCTAATCACTGATCAGATTTTATTCAGTTTAGGCGACAATTGTATGATTACTGAACAGCAAATTTAATCAGTTTTTAATTAGTTATTAATCAGTTTTTAAAAAATTTTTAATTAGTTTTTAACTAAATTTTCCCAGAAATTTTCTCGAGAAATATTACTGTAAGTTGATGATGCGAATGTTAAGAGTACGAGAAAATTACGACTAGGTTATCGTCAGAACTCGCCATATTCCGGAGAGAAAACTATGATCAGTTTATCGCTAGAAGTTGTTATATTCTGGCGAGAAAATTACGCTCAGTTTATCACCAGAATAACTCGCCATATTCTGATGAGAAAACTACGATCGATTTATCGTTAGAAAAAACTCGCTATATTATTTATTTTAGTTATGTTCAAAATGTTTATTTTTTTTAAATAAAATTATTTTTATTTAACTCTTTATTTAGTTTTTCATTAGATTTATACGATATATTAAATTATACAGCTTCGAAATTATTATTATTAGTTTTCCTGCAGTTTCATTTAGATTTTATTCCACTTGACCTGATCAATTTTTAGCTAGCATCGGTCAGAAAAAAGTAATTAAAAAATTCCATGTTTTACTTTTCAGAAACTGACATTTACTGATTGACCTGTCTAGTTACTGCCCTATATATCTAAAATACTAAAAACTAGCTAGTTTTCCTGACACGTTTTTCCCGATATTTAGATATTTTTTTTTTTATCAAGAAACTTCTTTTTCGTAAAATAAATCAGTGGTCGAAAATCACGAGTTTTCGCTAGGTAAGTATAATGCGGTACTTCATAATTAAAGATTCCCCAAAGAGACTACTTTTTCAGACTACGGCATGTGAATGGCGTTCAGTTATCGGTCGCCCTTTTCCCTTTCAAAGAAAAGCAGCCGCGGAAGCCTCGTGCGTTATGTAAAGAGAATAAATGACGGGAGGTTCGCCGGAGGGCGTCGGGACGCTTGGCGCCGCTACGTCGCTCTCGCCCTCATCCTTGTCATCGTCGTCACCATCGTCGTCGTCGTCGTCGTCGTCGTTCGAGAATAACGACAAAGGGAGTGGAAAAGAAGCGACGGAACCTCGCTCTCGGAGATGCTGTTCGCGTAACACGCGTTTCCCGACGCACGCTGGCTCTGTGAGCGTGTTGACGAGCTAACGCCGTTACGAGATAACGAGTCCCGCCGCCACCGTTATCCTTTACGGCTCCTCGCAACGACGGACACTGACAATTTAATCCCGTTTATGGTGATCGATGCCAGACTGGATCGAGTCTTGCTCCGGAATTTCCGAATTCCGCACGTGCCAGAATAGATATCTTCAAACAGTCTCGACAGCCAATTCAATACCAGCGGTATTTTTATATTATTTTTATTAAATAAATTAGCTTTTTGTTCCGTAGAATTCGTTACTTTCCACTGGATCGATTAAGAATTTGAGGATTTTTTTATTTATTAATTTATTTTTTAACCTATTAAGTTTTAGATGAGCCATCTAAGTTTTTCTGTTTTTAAATCATTACAATTCGAGTTCAAAATAGATATTCAAGATTGGTATTTAAAAATGAAGAGTCGCCTTTTTGAAATTTAGTTAACAATGGGGATGGGTGTATAAGATTGAAAATAGAGATAATGAAAGTAAGTGACCCTTGCCTTTTTGACACTGAGAACTTTTAACAAATAAAGAATTTCACCGAACTTTTTTATCAGACTAAAATATAATTATTCTTTCAATGATTTATAATAAAAATTATGGATTTAAAAAGATGAAAAGAGATAAAAAAATTTCTTCTTCCAAATTTTTATGTTTTTATCCTGGAATTTAATGTTTCAACGATTTCAAAAGCAAAATTTTTGATATTTTCTATTCTCATAAGTGTGAAAACGTGTCAGAGAAGATTTTAAAACTAATGTATCATCGTCTATTCTCATAGAGGTTAAAAAAAAGTTAATAAAAAAAATTGTGTATTAAAGAAAAAATTTAGGTAAGTATAGAAATATGCATCTTACTTTGATTTTCGCGTATAACTTTTCACATATGCCACGTGGATATTAGTTCTCTTATTCAGCTGTCGCAAAAGCGTGAGATCGTTGAATAAAAGATGACGCAGATGTCATAGAAGATTCATCGAATTTTGCGAGATTGATCAAAGTTGAATTGAAATCAGATACCGGCAAAAATATACGTTGACAGAATAATTAAAAAAAAAAAAAAACAATCTATTAGAATATTATTTCATTCAATAGTGTTTTACTTTCGAAATGTCAGATACGATTGAAGACCTTGGCATTATCGCGTGATGTTTGAGATTTATTTCAAGAATAATACACGCAAATTTTAAATAATAATTAATGCGATGCGAGGAGAATTTTCTTCTGAAATGCGAAGAAACGAACCTACCGAACGAATGAAATGAGTTTACTAAACCGAGATACCCTCATCCTTCATAAATCTTGCATCAATTACTTCCCAAAAGTTGACGCAATCTCATATATGTATTAAAAATCGTAATAGCGAAGAAAGACTGTGAAAATTTAGAAGAATTTCACAGAAGAATAAAAAAGAAGGAGAAAAGCAGAAATTACAGATGGACAGATGCTAAATATTTTTAAGTCACACTAAGTAAAGTTTACATCGCGACCGAGGGTATACGGTCGATCGATAGGACTCAGTAAGGAAGTATCGTATCGTGAAGAAGATGCGAAGAAGGGTAATCAGGATGGATATAGATCGCCGCGACCCATTCGCTCACCCTCCCGTGACAGCAATTTTTCCGGAATATCTTGGCGGCCTAAGTCTTGAGAAACTCAACCTATACCCCCCTTACTTTCGTTCTGCGATCGATTCGCGCAATTCTTTAGCGTTTCCTCACGTCGCGTATGTGGAAAATTATGAAGGCCGCGCAAACAGCATAAGTGTAATAAGTGTAATAAGAAAAGTTTCTCGAAAATAAATGGGCACAAATAAATGGACAATCTTCACAATTAAATGAATAAGATACGTAAGTAAAGTAGAGGTGATGTAACGAAGATATTTTAACGAAAAATAATTTTAAATTCGAAATCTTGGATTATCGCAAATTTTCATTTCTAAAACTTTTTACAATGCCACGTGGAAAATAAATTCTTCTATTCCTGGAGTTCGATAAATTTACACATGTAAATTCGGAATAAATAAATATATATATATATATATATATATATATATATATATGTGTGTGTGTGTGTGTGTGTATAATATAATAA